CAGGGCTTCAGCTTCCACCTGGCTGCAGTACTGCTGTCCCTGGCATTTATCACTTACGTGGAGCATGGTGAGTGCAGAACCCAACCCAGCAGATGGGACGGGTGGCTGGTGTTGGCTGGTGGTGGGCTGGAACCACTGATACCTGAGGCTAACCTGACAGTCTTACCTTCCCCTCCCCCTCATCTGCCCTAGTTCTGCGAAAGCGCCTGGCTCGGATTCTCAGTGCCTGTGTCTTATCTAAACGGTGCCCACCAGACTGTTCACACCAGCATCGCTTGGTGAGGATTCAGCCTAGGTAGCCATGTGGTCAACTCCCCCCCCCCCCCCCCCCAAAAAAATTACTTCTCTTTCCACCTTTTATCTGTCTCAGGGTGCCCAGCTTTCTCTTCCAGTCCTGAACCATGTTCATAACCTCACCTCTATTCACTGGCATCCATCTCTCTAATAAGAATGTATCAAGCAACTGCTGTATACCCACCTAGTGTTTATTTTCCCAGTGAACATGTGTTGAGCACCTCCTGGCACCAGGCACTGTTCTAGGTGCTGGAGACACAGTGATGAACAAAATAAACCAAAATCTCAGCCCTCTGGGGCAAACATTTTAACAGGGAAGACAGTAAATAAAAAATAAGTCAGTAAAGTGTAGTAGCTTGTTAGATTGTGATTAGTGCCAAGGAGAAAATACATAAGGGAAGGGGAGAGGGAAGTATCAGGGGTGAGTCGTTTCAAGTTTAAGTGAGGAAGTGACTTTTGAGTTCTTTAACTGAAGGAGGTAAGGAAGGGGAGCATTTCAGGCAAAGGGAACAACCAGAGTAAAGGCCCTGAGATGGGAGAGTGCCTGAAATATTTGAGGAATAGTGAGGAGGCCAGGATGGCTTGAGCAGAGTGAGTCAGAGGGGGAGAGGTGGGCCATGTAGGTCATAGTAGCGATTTGCTTTGATTTGTGTCTTTTTTTCTCATTCTTTTGGCAACAAGAAGTATGGAGAATTTCAGATTTGCCTCTAACCAGACAGCCAATGTTTATCACCATAAACCCCCAACTCAAAGCCCCACCCCCCATTCTTCCTCTGCCTGAATGCTTGAATCTCCCCCAATTTGGATGTTCTCAAGCTAACAGCATCCTCATCCTTGGATACCCCTTGAGCTCCCACAGGAGGATCAGAACCATTTCTTTCATACTCTGGTGGAGACTGCCCTGGACATCCTTATTCCTGCGCCTAGAGTGTTACCCTGGGAGCACCTGCCCAAATGGGATTAGAGGACAGTGATTAGGTCCAGCTGCCAGGCTTATCCATCTGTCTTCCACAGGGCCTAGGGGTACGAGCCTTAAACCTGTTCTTTGGGGCCCTGGCCATCTTTCACCTAGCCTACCTGGGCTCCCTGTTTGATGTTGATGTGGATGACACCACAGAGGAACAGGTAAGGTGGGGGGGGGGGCCCTGGGCTGGGGGTCACCCAGGGATGTGCTACCTGCTCATCGGAACCATAAGAACAAAGGTGTGGAGGACAAGACATGGGGACCTTGTATCTAGTGTCTCCAGCTTGTCCTTTGTCCTTCTCTCCCATTGTCCCTCTGGTTGATTGATACTGTTGGGTCTTTTACTTGGATGAAGTGTGCAAAATATGTTTATTTTATTTATAAAATTTATTTTCTCTAGATAGAATACAAAATCCGAGTTTTCCTTTTTTAAAGTTAATTATTTCATCATATTGTTACTTAGGTAGAACTCGCAAGTTTTCTTTATTTAATTTGTTAAAAATAGTTTTACTTATATTGATTGTGCAAATCCTGGATTCTACTTTAAAAGTGTATGTTAAAATGTATGTACTATTTTTATTCAGGTAGAGTATGCACATTCCAGGTTTTACTCCTCTTTAAATGAAAAACAATTTGAAAGTAATGTTTATTCATATGGCACTAACAGGATCCAGCTTTTGCTTCTTTTTTTTTTTTTTTTTTTTTTGGCCATGCCAGGCATCTTGTGGGATCTTAGTTCCCTGACCAGGAATTGAACCCTGGGCCACCACAGTGAAAGCACCTAGTCCTAACCACTGGACCACCAGGAATTTCCTTCGTTCAATTTTTAATTGAAAATAAAACTTTATATTTTGTCATTAAAAACAATTTTTGATTTTTCATTCAGGTTGAATGTATAAAATCTGGGCTTTGCTTCTTTTTAAATAAAATTTTGGGTTTTTTATTAAACAGTTAATGCAGGAAATTCCCCGGCAGTCCAGTGGTTAGCACATGCACTTTCACTGTTGGGGCCCAGGTTCAATCCCTGGTCAGGGTACTAAGGTCCTGCAATCCTCGAGGCAGAGCTAAAAAAAAAATAGTTAATGCATATCACATGGTTCAAACAAAAAACAGTGTACAAGATATTCAGAGGAAAGTCTTATTCCTACCGTCTTACTTCCATCCTCTTATGGGTACCCACTTTTGTTCATTTTATTGAACTATTATTCTAAAATATAAGCATAATAAGCAGATATAAAAATATTTTTAATTCCCTCCCCCTGGTTTTTACCCTAAAGGTAACACATGAATGACACTGTGCTACATGTTGCTTTTTTTCACATAATTCCTGAAAACTTCCCACATTAAGACATAGAGTAGGGACTTCCTTGGTGGTCCAGTGGCTAAGACCCTATGCTTCCAATGCAGGGGGCCTCGGTTTGATCCTGTCAGGGAACTAGATAATGCATACTCCCACTAACACTTGGCACAGCCAAATAATTTTTTTAAAAAAGACACAGAGTATCCTCATTCATTTTTTCCATTGTTACATAATATAGTTTGTCCCTTATCAGTGAACACCCAGGTGATTTTCCACTCCTTTTCTATTGTAAGTAATGCTACAGCAAGTAATAACGTCACATCTATGTAGATTCACAGAGGAGCAGAGAGAACTATAGGATCTAGTCTTGATAGCAATGGAGAAGTTACCTTTTCACCCTCCCACCAGCAGTGTGTGATCCTGTTTGTCGCAACAATAACAGAGTGCCTCTCAGACTTCACAGATACATTTGTCAGTTTGAGTGGAGGGAGGTGATGCATGAGGCTGAGTATCTTTTGATATGTTTAAGCGTGATTTCATTTTTTTTCCTTTTCTGAAAATGGCCTATTCACCTCCTTTGCTAATGTCTGTCTTTTTAAAAACTCAATTTCTAGGAACTCTTTATATATAAGGGAGAGTACAGGTCAGAAAGTGGGATTGCCTTGTCTCGTATTTAAATTTTTTTTTTAAAAGAGGAGAAAACACAAAAGAAAAAAGACTAAGTCTGCTTACCTTTCATATGCACTCAATCTCTTCTCTGGGGCCTCACTCAGGGTTGCAGTGGAGTCACAGAAACATCCTTGAGCAAAGGATGGGTTTTCCTGAGATCTTTATTCTTGCTGAGTGGGACCAACCGTCACCTCTTTCCCACAGGGCTACGGCATGGCATACACTGTCCACAAATGGTCAGAGCTCAGCTGGGCCAGTCACTGGGTCACTTTTGGATGCTGGATCTTCTACCGTCTCATAGGCTGAGACACATCTGTGGACCATCACAAGCTCCCTCAAGACCCCTCCTCAGGGTGCCAGCTCTGATGGGTGATGAGGGAAGGCCCTCTAATTCCTGACCCTCTCTCCATCCTTGACCCCCCTCAACACCCATACACAAACACACACACACCATTTCCATGCCTGTCAATCCCCACCCCACCACAAGGCGGGAAGGGAGTGGTCCCTCCTGGGGCCTAGGGGTGGGGGATGCTTGGGGAAGCAGAGAGGGGGAGATCCAGGGCCTCCCCGCCTTCCTTGTCCCTTTTTATACAGTTTGTTATTATCAAATAAAAGTAGGAAATATACAAAAGCCTCTTTCTTCACTGCTCAGTGGGGAATAGAAATGAATTAGGAAGGGGACACAGCATGGATAAAGGTTTGGAAGCTAGAAACCATGAAGAGGGAGGTTGTGATTGGTTTGTAGTTCATTTATTATCATTCATGATTGAATGATGAGCCTGAGGATAGCACTGCTAGGTCTGAGTGGGACCAGGACAGATTGTATACCTGGATGTGGGGGAGGTCTGATTCTAATTGTTCTAATTGGCTGAAAAACAGGAATTCCCATTCTAACTGGTTGCCCTGACAGGGACAGTGGAGGAAAAGCAAGACTGATGAAGAGTTGATGCCTATTGGTCCTTAGGACTGAGGGGTGTGGATTCTAATTGGATAGAAGGCCTGGGTTGGGTCTGGAGACTGACTGAATAGTCTGGGTGCCCACTGGGTTAGAGTTATAGAGTTTCAATTCACTCTTAAGAGTTGGCACAGGGGGTTTGAGGGCCTCCGTGTCAATTGGTCAGCAAGGCTGAGGGACTTGGGTTTTGATTGGTTCTTCTAACTTGAAGTCAGGATGGCGATGGCCTGAGGGAGAGGCGGAGGTAGCAGTAAGATCTGATGTGTCTGTCAGTCGGGTCTAACTCTGCAACACCACGGACTGTAGTCCGCGGGTTCCTCTGTCCATGGGATTTCCCAGGCAAGAATACTGGAGTGGATTGTCATTCCCTTCTCCAGGGGATCTTCCCGACCCAGGGATCAAACCTTCATCTCCTGCATTGCAGGTGGATGCTTTACTGCTGAGTCACCAGGACTTATTTGTATTGTTTCCTTGCCCATTTGGGAGGTTAGGATTAAAGGTTGATCTGGGGAAAGTTTTGGTTGCTCTGCTTTTACAAATGAGGGCAACGCAATGCTGACTCAACAGCAGGTAAACACCCGATTTCTGATGGGATGGATAAGCGGTTAGGGAAACTGAAGCCAAGACTTGCCACAGATTGGCCTCTGGCTGAAAACGCCCACCAACCGTGGCTTCTCCGCAGCAAAAAATGGTACCACGCGTGAGGGCGGGGTCGGCGGCACACAGACAATAACTATTGGCTGAGAGCAGCAAGGGCCTCCTTTCCAGCTCCTCCATTGGCCAGTTCCATAAGGCGGAACCTGTGAGGGGTTGGATTTGAAGTATTGATATTTCGGAGCCAGCGACCGATCTTAGTGAGACCCGGGAACCTGTGGGAGAGGCCGCTGCAAACGCGCTGTTGAGTGAGTGCCCTCCGCCTGAACTGCCTTTCCATCCCTTAGCTCGGATTGCTAAATGGCCAGCCCTCGGCGCGCCTGCGCGAGACCCTTCCCCCATCCCCACTTCCCCCGCCGTTTTGCCACCCTCACCACCCCGACGCGCCTGCGCAGGGCGGTCGGCTACTGCGCGGTTGTCGGGACTGCAAAAGATCTGCCTTCTCATCGGGCAGCTGAACCAGAGGGTTCTAGTTCGGATGGGTGGTCTCTGTATTTGTCCCTCCTGTTTAGCTCCCTTTAGCTCTTTAGCTCCTCTTTAAGCTCCCGGCGCAAGGCCCCTGCTCTCCACTCTCCTCTTTTTTGCGGGTTGGCTGCAGGGTGAGCAATTTCGGGAGGGGTCGGATAATCCCATACACTGAACCTGAAGGTGTAGTTCTGATTAGTCATCTTTTTTGTCTGTCCTGCAGTTTCCAGAACTATGGGGAGGGTAATAGCTTTACGTTGCAGGATGCAAGACAGTGACCCTTGCAAATCTCCCCTAGCAGACCTGGGAGGCATGGCACCGGGCCTGGCTCCTGTGTCTCCCCCAGCGGGCTGTAACTCCTGAGGGCAGGGATCAGGCCTGGTTACTGTGTCTCCTTCGCCAGAGCATGACCAATGAGGGCTGGGACCTAGTCTGATTCTTGTGTCTGACCACCAGACTGTGACCAATGAGAGCAGAGACTAGGCCTGGTTCCTATCTTACCCAATGAGATCAATGAGAGCTGGGACCTGTTCTGGTTCCTGTGTCTACCATATCATATGGCTCCCAGAGGGCAGGAACAAGCTTTCAGTTTTTCTGTGGCCTTATGTTCATGTTTTTAAAATAGTATATAATTAGATTTTTTTAATTGAGTCAGTCTTAATCAGTTAATTGAGTCCACTTACATTTCTTGTCATAATAAACTATTTGGATATGATTTTATGATCTCATTCTATGCCTTTGTATTTGTTCAGGTTTTTTTTTTTAATTCTCTTTTCTACATATCCACACACCACCATCAGCCTACAAAGACATGACCACCAACGCCAGCCCCACGCACCCCTACTGGCCTCAGCACCTGAGACTAGACAACTTTGTGCCTAATGACTGCCCCACCTGGCATATCCTGGCTGGCCTCTTCTCCGTCTCTGGAGTCTTAGTTGTGACCACATGGCAATTGTCAGGGCGTGCTGCGGTCGTCCCACTTGGGACTTGGCGGAGACTGTCCCTGTGCTGGTTTGCAGTATGTGGGTTCATTCACTTGGTGATTGAGGGCTGGTTCAGCCTCTACCACGCGGACCTTCTTGGAGACCAAGCCATCTTATCTCAACTCTGTGAGTCCTGGGTTCTTGAGTATGCTGTGGAAGGGAATTTCCTGGACAGGGATTGGCTTAGATGTTTACCTACCCACCAACTCTTATTCCATTTGTTTAAAATAAATTTTTAAAATTTATTTAACTTTTATTGCATGTATATTCACATGGGTCCAAAATGAAGCCATTTAGAGGTATGCAGTAAAAATCTACCTTCTATCCACCAAGTTTCCCCAAATAATTGCTTATGTTTCTTTTCAGGGTTTTACACATAAATTACACACATAAGCCTCAGTTTGCTCAACTGTAGAAGAGGGATAATAGTCATACCCAAGTACATGTAAGACACTTAGAACAATGTTTGGCAGATAATACATGCCATATAACTTTATCATCATCATCATCATCATTTTAATTTTTCCTTTTGTATAAATGGTAGCATGCTTTTTTTTTTAAAATGAACTTTGCTTCTGAACTTTGCTTTTTTTTTTTTTATGAGGACACTCATCATAAGTTTATGAAGAGTTTGAAAGCATAAATGTTACAGAATTATTTGACTTTTCCAGTATTAATAGGTATTTCCCCTAATCTTTTGCTGTTATGAACAGTATTCCTTTTTGGCTTCATGAATAAATCTGCTAGAACATTCTTCTGCAAGTCTCTATGTGAAGATCTGCTTTCGTTTCTCTCGGGTAGATGTGGAGGAGTAGAATATCTGGGTCCTGTGGTAGATGTGTGTTTAATGTTATGAAAAACTGCCAAACTTTTCAAGAATGGCTGCACCATTTTATATTCCCACCAGCGGTATATTAGAGTTAGTTTTTCCACATCCTCATCAACACTTGATATGACCGGGTGTTTATTAAATTTTAGTCCTTCGAGTGGATGTGAGTGATATCTCATTATGGTTTTAATTTGCTTTCCCTTAGTGATTAATAAGTACCTTTCATGTGTTTATTGACCATTTAGAATCCGGTTTTGTGAAAAACCTATTTCAGTCTCCTGTCTATTTCTATATTGGGTAATCTATCTTTTCCTTAGTGATCTCTGCTTACTCTTTCATTTACTTATCTGTTCACCTTCGAGCTCTCTCTCTTTCTCTCATTGGCTACTTTCCTCACTCCATCATTTACACCTGCCTGGTTTTATTCCACAAACATTTATTGAATACAAGACAATCACAGCAACACTTAATGTTCTGTGTCAGATTTGCACACATTATCTTATATACATATAAAAACAGCTGCCCCATTTCACAGATGAGGAGACTGAGGCATGGGGAGGTTATAAAGCCTGCCTTCTTATATGAGCCCTCGGCTGTCACAAGTCTGACTTCCTTTTCCTGCTGATGTTCTTCATGTAAGTTTCTTGTCTTCTTCAGGGAAAGAGTACGCCAAGGGAGACAGCCGATACATCCTGTAAGTGTTTGTCAAGGGGGACCTGCATTGTTTTGGGGGGAGGTAAGTCAGGGAGCATTAAGGGGTGCCTTGTAGGTAGAGCACAGTAATGCCAGTGCCCCCTCCATCCTTTCTCTTGCAGGGATGATAACTTCATAATATGCATGGAGACCATCACGGCTTACCTGTGGGGACCACTCAGCCTGTGGGTGGTGATCGCTTTTCTCCGCCAGCAACCCCTCCGCTTTGTCCTACAGCTTGTGGTCTCTGGGGGTGAGGAGAAGGCCCACAATGGGTGCTTGAGGGCTTGATGGGGGATCTACAGACATGGGGGCATTCCTGTGGGTGGGACTTCTCAATTGTGCCCATCCAGGGCTGAGTCAGACTGAATGACAAACTCCCTGAGGTTTTGGAACAGCCATGCCCCTCCAGGCCTGTGTTCTCAATCCAGGAGAGTTCATTTCTCCTCCCACTCCATCACAAAGTCTCTCATGAGGGTTACAGTTACATGAGGTGGCCCATGATGGTGGGAAACCCCTGCATTCTTCTGAATCAAGATTCTGAGCTTCCTTCATCTGAGATTCAGTCCTCTTATGTTCTTATGTTGTTAGCTTTCTGGAAATGTGAGTTCTCTTTAGTCCTAGAATCCCGAGCTGTCTTGAATGAAAGGATTTTGAGCTTAAATTCTGGAGACATGAACTCTCTTGAGTTCAGAAAGTCTCAGCTTCTGATTTCTGGAATTCTCACATTTCTGATTTCTCAAATCTTCAGTCATGTGATTTCAGAACTTTTATGTCTCTGAATTTGGGAATCCTGAGCTCTAATAACTTGGAAAATGGCTTGGAATTGTTCCTCCTCCTTACAGAGTTTCCTTCTCCTTCTACCTCCCACAGGTCAGGTATATGGAGATGTGCTCTATTTCCTGACAGAGTACCGTGATGGATTCCAGCACGGAGAGCTGGGCCACCCACTCTACTTCTGGTTTTACTTTGTCTTCTTGAACGCCCTGTGGCTGGTGCTGCCGGGACTCCTCATACTGGATTCTATAAAGCAACTTGCTCATGCCCAGAGCATACTGGATGCCAAAGCCCCAAAAGTCAAGAGCAAGCAGAACTAAAGAGTGATGAACTAGGCTTAAACACCGGCTATTGAGGAACTCTTAATCAGGAAATAAAGATCTTGACCCTATACTGAGAGATCTTTAATTATTAACCCCAAAGATGCCCCATGACTGACACTATAGATCCTTCCAGCACTCATTTCACAGACCACTATCCTTTCAGCCATAGACCAGCATCATCATTCCATAGACCTCGAACCTATGACCTCACAACTTTCAATCACTGACCCCACTGGTTCCCCTGATGGTTAATTAGATCCATGAATCACATCTGTAAAGTCTTTTAAGGCATGATCGTCCATCCACACCCTTGGCATTCTCTCCAGAATATAACCTTTCTTGTTTTGAAATATGGTCAGGCTGAGAATTTTCCAAATCCAAGTTCTTCAGTTTACTCAGCCTCTTATCTCCTGATCAGGTATCCCACAAATACCCCATTACTAACTCCATATATCCCCTTATTACTCATCCAAAGAACCCCATCACTACCTTAAAGATTGCCATCGCTCACACCAGAGACCCCCACAAAAGTCACTCCACTACCCCATATACTCCATCATTAACTCCTAAGATACCCATCACTCTCCCCACAAACAGCCTTTCATTTGCTCCATTGACGGAGAGAATCATTCACCTCACAGACCTCCATCACTCACACTACAGACCCCATCACTTGCCCCAAGAGACCTTCCATTACGTACAACTCTATGACTCATTCATAGATCCCCCATCATGTATTGCACAAACCTTATCACTCTTCTACAAAATGCCCTATCATTTATCCCATAGGTCTCTTATCACTCACCATAGATCTCTCAATCACTCACTCTGTAAACTCCCCATAATGACTTTGAAGAATCTATTTACCTTACATTCCCCATCACTCACCCTATAGATCCCCAATTACCCCAGAGATCTTCCATCACTTACACCATATCTTATCACCCATCCCACAGACATCCCTTTACTCACCCCACAGACCACTTATGTACCCACAGATACCCCTCACCCTACAGACCCCTATTGCTCATCCAGCAGTCTCTGTCTTTAACCTCAAAGACCTGCAGTCATAAAACAAATTGGTACTAGAGGAATTTTGTGGAGATTGCCATATTAACCTGCAGATACCTGTAGATGGGCTCCAGGTGACCTGTGCAGAGCAGGACTTCAGTTTAAATTTTAGTTCTGCTTGAGCCTACAGTGTCACTTTTTGAGAAGTGCCTCACTGTTAACCCAAAGCCCTGCATTAATTTCTCACCTCAGATCCATCACTTAACCTCATTGTTTACTTAAGGCATGATGGTGCCCTTGCTCTCCCTCAAGCACAGCAGGCACCGCCCCACCTTCTGTCCATTGCACTCTCTTCTCTCTGTCCTATTTACTATCCCTTTGATCTTGAGCATGTTTTCCCATGACCTTCATTCAGTGCTTTCATATGTAAAATGCTGATAATGGTAGTACCTACCTCAGGATTTTTGTGCAGATTAGATGAATATATTTACACTATCTGGTATACACTTTGTTGAATGGAAGAATGGACAAATGAAAGAGAAAATTCTCCCCTGCACTATGGCAAGGACCTCCTTTTTGCTCTTCTTGCTTCCAGTATATTTCTTTCCAGAGGTTTCTCCACAACCAAGACAGGGGCATCTGAACACATCATAAGCCTGTGCTCCAGGGCCCTCAGGATAAATTCCAAGTTCTAGGCTAATGTTTTGCTCATTCCACTCTATGATAATTTTAATGAAAAGCAACTTTCAAAGTCCTTGTTTCCATCAGAAAACCTGGCAGTGCCACAAGAAGTGTTTTAGAAAAGGAGACTTCTCTTAAAAGGTAACATTAAAGGTAACATCCTACAATACTGCAGCAATAGCTGAAGTCCAGGTACCTTACAGGACTCCTTGGTTACAAATTACATTTTTAAGAGCAGCATGTATTTTGTCCAAACCATAGAGACGTTGTACAGTAAAATGAGAATGGCTTTTTGCATTTTGTGGTACATAAACTTTCTCAAAGGAGTCTAAAATATGTCCAGTATTCAGCTGATATTTTGTGGGCACACACCGTTTAATAACAGGACTGACTTCAACGTGTTGTAAAGATTCAATAAAAACAGAGGCAAACTTGTCCACAGAGCATACAAATGGCTTTTATGGGTAAATTATTAAAGTATAACATGCAGGCAGAAACAGCAAAAGTCTAAATGTACAGGTCCGTGAATTTTCATAACGTGTAAGCTATTTTTTAAAAGATTGTGGGAAAAGGATTATTCTTCCATTCAGTAGATTCGTTTGAAATGATTTAAATAGATGACGTCATCTCTAAGCAGAGACACAGGCGACTTGGGGCAGACGTGGGGCGTTGACGTTATCGCGCATTAGCTTCCTTTCCCCGCCCACTTTTCTCGCCCCAATAGGTCGCCGCGTTAGCACACACCTATGTGAATCCGGAAGCAAAGTGACCAAATCAAGGACGAGGGAGGCGGGGCCTCAGTAAGCGCCTGCACACTGGCTCAAGTGACGCACAATGCCCGGCTTTGGGGGGCGGGGCTCTTGGCAACAGCACACTGCGCAAGCGCAGAGGTGACCTCCTCCCTGTGCCAAGCGGGGGGTGGGTAGGGTCGCGTGGCGCCCTCTGCGCCTGCGCCAGGGCACAAGGTGGGGCCGCGGGTGCCCGCATTCTGACGTGCGCACAAGGGTAGGGGGCAACGGTCAACTGCCACCCCGAGGTGGGTGGTGGCAGGATGGCGACGGCCTCTGGGTCCTCGGACTTGGCTGGCTCCGGAGCGCCCCCGCCTGGTGGGGGAGCCCAGGCGGCGGCAGCTGAGGAGGAGGAGCGAGAGGTGGTGCGGGTCCGAGTCAAGGTGAGGCTGGTGGCCCGTCATTCAGCCCGCCCAGAGCTCCCGGGAGAGGGGAAGGTGGTGGCTGTCCTAGGATGGAGGGCGGGACTTGAGAATTGGGGTGTTACGTGAGGGGAGAGGCTTGAGGGCAGAATATTGGTGGTTTGGGTGGGGGCTGGGGGAAGGCTGGACCTGGGAATGCGGGGGCAGAGGGTGGGGCGTGGGGATTACAAATTGAAGGGTAGGGCCCTCTGGAATGGATAGGAGGAGATTGTGGGTAGAGAGGAGGGGCTATAGGGTTGGAGGAGGGGACTCAATGGAGTGGAGCCCTGAGAAATGAGGGAGGTTGTTGCTGTCTGAAAAGGAGGCGCTGACATCGTTTTAACATTGTGTTGAGAGTGCACTTTTGTGCAAATCCCCACACTGGATGAGCAGACACACTCGTCGGGGAGACAAACAGCTAAATAAAGGAAATGCTTCAGACACTGGTGAATGTCATGGGGAGATAACGAAAAAGATTCCGAACTAGGATGTTGCTTTAGCCAAGGTCGTGCAGGGAAATATCTAGAAAGGTATTGAAGGAACAGAGACCCAAATAAAGAGGAGTCACCAATGTGCATATCATGGGGGGAAGAGTGTTTTAGACCGAGAGAACAGCAAGGGCAAAAGCTGGGAGGTGGGGATGAGCTTGGCATGTTCCCTTAGGTTTCCATGTTGCTGGAGCCCAGAGAGTGAGAAGAGTGGTAGGGGGTGGATGGGAGAGGTCAGAGAGGGGCAGATTGTGAAGGGCCTTTGACATGTATTCTATTCTTGAATAAGAAAGCTGTTGCAGTAGTTCCAGCAAGTGGTTACTGGCTCAGACTAGGGTGGTGGCACTGGTGGTGATGAGAAGAAGTTAGACTCTCGAGAGAAGTAAACAGATCACTTAAGTGTAATAGAGCAAGCTCAAAGATAGATGTTTGGGTGTTCAAAGAAGAGAAGATACTTAAGCTGTGAGTGAGCCAGTTAAAGAGTGGGAAGGACCTTCCAGACTGGGGGATGTCCACAAGCACAGGCCTGGAGCCAGAATGTGTTCAGAGTAACTTCTGGGAGTTTGGTAGTACCAGAGTGTAAAGTTCAAAAAAGCTCCCTTTGGGAATCCTGAGGTTCCTTTCGAAGAGATTTAAGCAAGAGAGTGTTGTAGATAGACATGCTAGATTTGGTTGCAGCGTGGAAGACTGGTTTAATAAGGGCCAGGCTGGACATGTCTTTTTTTTTTTTCCGCTTATTTTATTATTTTTTTTTCCATTTATTTTTATTAGTTGGAGGCTAATTACTTTACATCATTGTAGTAGTTTTTGTCATACATTGAAATGAATCAGCCATGGATTTACATGTATTCCCCATCCCAGTCCCCCCTCCCACCTCCCTCTCCACCCGATCCTTCTGGGTCTTCCCAGTGCACCAGGCCCGAGCACCTGTCTCATGCACCCAATCTGGGCTGGTGATCTGTTTCACCCTAGATAATATACATGTTTCAATGCTGTTCTCTTGAAACATCCCACCCTCGCCTTCTCCCAGAGTCCACAAGTCTGTTCTATACATCTGAGTCTCTTTTTCTGTTTTGCATATAGGGTTATCGTTACCATCTTTCTAAATTCCATATATATGTGTTAGTATACTGTAATGGCCTTTATCTTTCTGGCTTACTTCGCTCTGTATAATGGGCTCCAGTTTCATCCATCTCATTAGAACTGATTCAAATGAATTCTTTTTAATGGCTGAGTAATATTCCATGGTGTATATGTACCATAGCTTCCTCATCCATTCGTCTGCTGATGGGCATCTGGGTTGCTTCCATGTGGACATGTCTTTTTGCCTTTTCATTACTGTTCATGGGGTTCTCAAGGCTCATTGGGAAAGACCCTGATGCTGGGGGAGATTGAGGGCAGGAGAAGAAGGGGGCGTCCAAGGATGAGGTGGTTGGATGGCATCACGAACTCAATGGACGTGAGTTTGAGCAAACTCCGGGAGATAGTGAAGGACAGGGAAGCCTGGCATGCTGCAGTCCATGGGGTCACAAAGAATCAGACACAACTGAGCGACTGAACAACAAAAGATTGAACATGGTGGTCTTGGCAACCATCCTTGAGGGGATGTAGAAGAAGGATTGGGTACCTGGACTGTTGCAGTAGCCTCCTCCTCACTGGACCACTGCTTTCTCCTTTGTCTCCCACGGACTGTTCATAGAG